GATGTCTTAGTAAAAGTATTTTGGTGGTGTGGTGAGGGAAAGCCTGGTTGGCCTGTATTTAAGAATGTGCTGCACTATTAAAAACTTTGGCTAGAGTCAGAGTGCAGTAAAAAGTTAACTATGGTTAAAGGAGAAAGGATGATAAAGTTAAGGTGAAAATTTGAATATAGTAAGGAGAGAAGAGAACATCCATAGTGTAAAAATTCTCCTTTTCTCTACATCCTGCAAAGAAGTAGTGACCATGGAGGCCAGAGTTTTCATCTTTTTTTGTATTTTCTGTATGTTTAGAAAATACAATGCTATGTTTTCTGTTTTTCTTTTCATCAGTTTGCATAGCTTCTTTACTTACTAGCATTTTATCCCCGGCCCCTCTCCTAGGTTCCAGACATATATTTTTTTAACTGCTTGCTAGAACTCTTTAATTAATTGTCTCATAGCTCCTCCAATTCAACATGTTCAGCTGAATCATTTCCTTTTTGTTTACTGAGGACCTAGATATCTGGATCTTCCATTCTCTCCTTTATCTCTTTCTTTCTTCCTCCTTTTTTTCCCTCTCCTACCCTCAGTCCCTGCTGGGAGACTTCAAATAATAATGCTACTTTTTGAAAGATTATTTTCTGGAATAATACTAAATTTGGTAAGCTTCATTTAAGATTACCCATAAAATCATTTATGTTGCCAATTTTTACTTTTTATCCATTAATGTGGAATATACAGTAAAAACACAAATCCATCACTTCTGTGAAAATGGCAGAGTGAAGATTTTTATTTATGTACTTTTGTATCAGCATAATTTATAGTTCATAATTGCAGACTTGAAGCTCCTTGATTATATGGTTTTTATACTTTTTTTTTTGTGGACCAAATGCCATACCTGGTAATTTTCTTATTTTTCTTAAACCAATTCATTTAAAGAAACAAAAGATGTGTCTTCCACTTGGGTTTCCTGGTATTTCAGAAAATTAAGACATTTATGAGCCCAATTTCATTATATTTAAGTCTACTAATTGAACTACAAATAAAAACAGTTACTTGCTTTTGACTTTTGGATTATATTTTGAAGATAAGTAAAACACTTTTAAAAAGACAGCTGCCAGAATATGATGGAAATACACATTTTTTATTTTGTGTGGACATAACGTTTATTTTAAAATAAAATACTGGCAAATTTTACTTTGTTCTTAGAACATAGTTGTGTGTAGTATGGTGGACAGATAGATGCAGAATTATTGCTAGCTCTTCAACTTTGAAGTGGAATTCGGTTTTAAACACCCACAGCAAAAATTTTAGGATGCCTGCATGCTATTGCATGTTAAAAAGACACCCACATCAAATCTTAGCCTTGGAAAAAGTAGCCTACTAAGTACATGCATCTTTAGTTTTCTTTTAACAGAGATGGGAAGAGAGATGTCTTTTTTGTGTATATTATAGACATATTTTCTTGTAATACTTGGAGGTTATATATTTTAAAGTCTGCTTTCACTAAAAAACTGAAGATCACTGTATTATATGGTAAAAGCTGAGGCACTCCTCTTTAAAGTTCATTGAATTAACTGGCAGACTTTCTTGTTCTGGCTTTATTTGAATAATTGAACAGTTGAATCATCAGTCCCTATTCGGAGTCATTTCTCATTATTTGGGATTGTCCCTGACTCTACTGTTTGAGACGGTGGAAGTACAGTTGAAGTAGGTAGTTACAGTGATTGAGCTACACAGACCTCTGGTCTCGCGTGCACGCATGTTTGTGTGTACTTACTGTTTATGCATACTTCTGACAAGTTTAGTGGTTACTAGTTTCCATGTTCATACCAGAAAACAGAAGAAAGAATAATAGGCATTTTAATTTTAAGCAGGAATAGGGCTAACAATAGGCAGGCATATTCGCTGAAATGAGAAGTGACAGTTTGCAGTCTCATACAAAGGAAGAGATGAGAATTATATTATGATCCAGCAATTCTCCTAGGTGTACACTCAAGATAAATGAAAACATATTTTCACCCAAAAACTTTAGACAACTGTTCATGGCAGCATTATTCACAGTAGCCAAAAAGTAGAACCAGCCCAAATGTCCCAACTGATGAATGAAAAAAAAAAAAGGCATATCTGTACACTGGAATATTATCTGGCAATAAAAAGGAGTAAAGTACTGATACATGTTATAACATGAATGAACCCTGAAAACATGCTAAGTGAAAGAAGCCATATACAAAGCTCACATATTTATATGAGTCTATTTATATGAAATGTCAGAATAGCCAGATTCATAGAGACAGAAAATGGTTGGTGATTGACAGGCTGGAGGAAGGGGGAATTGAGGTATTTCTTTTAGGGGTGATAAAAATATTCCAAAGCTGATTGTAGTGATGCTGAGAATAAGAATACAACTTTGTAGATACACCAAAAATTATTAACCTTGTACACTTTAGTGAATTGTGTGGTATATAAGTTATATCTTAATAAAGCTTAAAAATATTTGCAAATTTGGGGTAATTTAAAATTTTATGGGGTTGGTTAGTTCCATATTCCATAAGCCTGGGACATCCCTTTTATAGTACAGTAAAATAATCTTTGGTTGATAATAGGTATGAAACTCTGTGCTTTAAGAAAAATGCGTCTTTTAGAATCTCTGTTGAAAAATGTATAAACTGCTATCATAAATGTTTACTATTCAAGTTCATAATTAAATTCTTGGTATCTTAAAATGACTCATAGTCTATGTATTTCCCATATTTGAGGTTATAGCTATGTCTATTAATGAAAGCATGATGATTAATTAAAAATTTAATTATTTTTCTCACCATTACAAAGCCTAGTTAAAATAATTTTCAAAAAATATACTTAATTTTAAGTTCATCATTGTCATTAGAAAGGAGCAGCATGGTTCTCGGCCAGGTCAGCAGAACACCTGGTGATCCTCAGCTGGGCGTGTCTGGACATGGGCTGTGATTGTCCTGGGGCAGTGGAAACTTGGCGTACCTGTGCGGCACATTGGGTGGCACTCTTTGGAGTTGCGTTGGCCGCATTTTTTTTTTTTTTTTGAGACAGAATCTCACTTTGTCGCCAGGCTGGGGTACAGTGGTGCAGTCTCGGCTCACTGCAGCTTCTACCTCCCAGGTTCAAGTGATTCTCCTTCCTCAGCCTCTCGAGTAGCTGGGACTACAGGTGCATGCCACCATGCCAGGCTAACTTTTTTTTCTTTTTTCTTTTGGTAGTGATGGGGTATCACTATGTTGGCCAGGATGGTCTAAATCTCTTGACCTCGTGATCCACCCACCTTGGCCTCTCACAGTCCTGGGATTACAGGCATGAGCTCTGTAGCAGCTTATCGCCTGCCGTATTTACTAGTTGGTGACAGTGTTGTGCTTAAGCAGGACTCTACACTGAGCTGCAGTCCTGGAAACACTACATTCCAGTTAAGAGAAACCTGAGCAATCTGCTAGAAAAACTTAAATGGGCAAAAGATAACAATGAAGAGGCCAAAAAGACAGCAAAAGCAGGACAATAATTTGCAAGGAATAATCACATGGACTATGACATAGTCAGTCATTGTTTTAAACTTTTCCAGGAATATGCCAATTTACAAATGAGCCTCAAATCCAAGAGGATGTGAAAAGGGTAGAAGCACAGACTGAGGACGACCTCTTGACTTGCACTTGCCACAGGAAAAAGACTAAAGATGAACTCTGATATGCAAAGTAACTTCTATTAAAATAATGGTGCTCTGAAGACTCTTAACTAAAAAGAATTTTTTTAAAGTATTAATTCCATGGACAATATAAAATTTGCTGTGTGGTTTGCAGTATGAAGATATATTTCTACTTATGCAGTACTCATGACTGTACTTTAAAGTACATTTTTGGAATTTTATAGTAAAACCACCATTATTTAAAAAATATACTTAATTATTGCATCTAACTTATACTTCTATTGCTTCAAAAATCAAAGAATTAACAGTAATTAAGGAATGTAAATATGGAATCCAAGAGCTAATCTAGATTGATAGTACTTTTAAAAAGCGTATAGCAATATTGTATTAAATGGAATCAAATGAGTCTACTTGGCTGACAATTGTTGGTTAGGAAAAAAGGGAATTTTGATTATCGTAGATTTTTCACTGTGGTAGCACAGAACTTGCTGCATCTCATTTCTGTTTATATATTTTTCTCTCTCTATATATAATTCTGTTAATATATATACATATAATTCTCTCTGTTATGTATGTATACATATTAATAGAGAATTAACATAATTATATATAATTCTGTTATATATATAGATATATATGATATTAGATATATAGATAGAATAAAACTCAAGAAGAACTGAAAGAGAAGGTAGACAACAAAAAACTAGGAATTATGGAATCAGACATGAAACTTAAAAATCTAAGGAAACAGTTGTTTTAAAATTCATTGTGTCAGCTAATGCATGTCTGAATCAGAAAAACTGTAAAGGAAAGCAGTGAAGAACACTGAGTCACTGCAGACAAGGAATGAGTAAAGAGAGGAGTTATGAATGAATCTTGGGTTCCATGGGATTCCTGCTATCATGGATTATTAAAAAACCATATTCATTGGTGATAAAGAGGAGTTTTAAATTGTTAATGTTGAAATTTCAGATGTAGGCCTGGTGGCAACTAGGTGATGTAAATTTGTGGCCTAAGGGAAGAGATCTGAATTGATCGACTTAGTGACCCTGTAATTAGCAAACAGGAGTCATTGTTTCCTCCAGACACTACCAAAAGTGTAGCTAGAATTTGGAATTATTAAAATGGATTTACTGTCATGGTGAGATTTAAATTTTAAGAAATCTCAGTAATTAAGGTTTTCTTCTAGTTTATTTGTCCTTTCCTGGGGTATAATATTTGGAAAACCTTGATTGTTGGAAATCTGTACTGTGTCCTCTTAAATATAGTTAGATGTATTTAGTTATGTTTGTTTTTATCAAGTGATTTTAAATTTTGAATGTTAAGCATCATTCACATTTCTTTTTATAACCAGGAACCTTTTGAGGATGGCTTTGCAAATGGGGAAGAAAGTACTCCAGCCAGAGATGCTGTGGTCACATACACTGCAGAAAGCAAAGGAGTCGTGAAGTTTGGCTGGATCAAGGGTGTATTAGTATGTATATATAGACTTAACTTTAGAGTTACAGCATATCTGTTGGTTATAAAATCTTCCTAATGTTCTCATCAGTTCTCAAGAGAACTGTTTTTTCACTATTTTAACTCTCTTATCTGAGTGCCATAGAAAACCAAATTAATAGCTTGTACCTCCTTTGCTTTTGGATATTAAATTCAGTAAAGGAGATATGACATTTATTTTGCCAAATTATTTTTGATTATATTCTATATAATGTGTTACTGAGCATATTATGTTTCATTGCCTCTTGTGAATCTCATTTACTGTCACTTTTCAGAAATTAATTATGAAGACTATCAAATTGGGAGCATCAGAATCAACAAGGCTGAGCAGGGAATAGAGCTGAAATATGCCTGCTTTATTTCACACTACCCCCATTATATTTTGAAGAGAAGCATATAGAAGTTAGCAAGCAAGAAAGGAATACAGGAGAAATGCTTAAGTGTTGAGTTCACTTTGCTGCATAGGTTTAGGTGATTAAGGTTCATATTTCTGTTTTTCTGTTTGAATAGGCACTAAGGAGCTGACTAAAATAGGCTAGATTGCCTTCTCATTGGGACTTTGAAGGCACTTAATAGGGGTTGTATTGGAATTTCAGGGAGAAGTAGAGGGAAAAATAACAGTTCTAGTAGTCATTTTATTGCCTCATCTATAAGGTGAATGTGAAGCTTCAGGTAGAATTGTTGCTTATTCTTAGATTTTAGTGTTTTGTAAGACTATGTTCTGTGTATGAACATAATACAGTGAAAATAAATTGGGGAAACTTACAACTAATTTAAATTTTTAAAAATGTGGCATTTTGTATTGACAAATATTATGTAATATGTAAATCTGCTAAAGAAATTATGAAATGAGGATGTTATAAAAGAATAAGCAAAAGTTAAACTTATTGATAAAAAGGAATATGCACTACTTTTTACAGGGCTGGATTTTAAAAATATTTCTTGTATCTTGTTCTGTTGCATCTGCTGCTTCAGACAATTGTGATGCGTGCATTTATTTTCATTGTGTTTATATTAACTCAACTGTAAGCTCTTATTAAGCTCTTTATAAAGACTATTAAAGAAAGGGTGGAGTAGGAGTTAGGAGTGGAGTTAAAACTACTTAATCTTCTGTAGTTTCAAATGCATGTCATTGTACTTTGGCTGGTTTAATGATTACTATATAATGTTTGATTATTCTTCCTCTGTGACTTGGCCTCTTTTTCCCTTTTAGGTACGTTGTATGTTAAACATTTGGGGTGTGATGCTCTTCATTAGATTGTCATGGATTGTAGGTCAAGCTGGAATAGGTAGGTGAAGTTATATCCTGCTTGATTTGAGAATAATAAATAAGCAAAATGAGCTGTTAACCTCATAAAACTCAAGCAATTAGAGTCATTTTGAACTGTGTGTTTCTTTATATCAGATTATTGTCTTCATGTTCCTTTTTCATAATTCTGATTTGATTTTTCTAAAATGAGATAAAAATTGGGCAATTTATAACTTGAAATGTAAGTTCAGTATTCTTAGACCAACCAGTTTTAGACAATGGCATGCTTAAACAAGGGTATAAGTATTCAATCTTCTTTCTCTGTAAAGGTCTGTCGGTCCTTGTAATAATGATGGCCACTGTTGTGACAACTATCACAGGATTGTCTACTTCAGCAATAGCAACTAATGGATTTGTAAGAGGAGGTAAGTTGAATCTTTTTGTATCATCATCATCAGATTACTCTTACAGAGATCTAAATTGTATTTTTAATTATTATTATTTTTTTTATACCTTAACTGAAGGAACATATTAAGTCTATATGGACAAGAAAGTTGCTACTGAGCACTTCCAGACAAGTATATTTCAATGTAAATTTTATATAAACTCATACACATATGCTTTAAGTTATTCAGAGTGTTTCATAGCAAGAATGGAGCATTTACTTTGGTCTTTTATCCACTGGGAGGCGTCTTATTGCCTCCTCCAAGGCTTGCCCTTGGATCAGTGAGCAACATGCTACTAGTATTTGTTCAACATTGTATTGGGGTAACCTCATTTCCCACCCCATCCCCTATTAAGGGAAACTAAGGCAGTATACCTTCCCCATAATCTAATAGCATTGTGTGAGCTATGCTTGGGACTGTAAATTTATTTATTTATTTTGAGACAGAGTCTCACTCTGTCACCCAGGCTGGAGTGCAGTGGCATGATCTTGGCTCAGTGCAACCTCCGCCTCCCTGGTTCAAGTGATTCTTCTGCTTCAGCCTCCCAAGTAGCTAGGATTACAGACATGCACTACCACGCCTGGCTAATTTTTATTTTTATTAGAGACAGGGTTTTGCCATGTTGACCAGGCTGGTCTTGAACTCCTGACCTAAGGTGATCCGCCTGCCTTGGCCTCCCAGTGCTGTGATTACAGGTGTGAGCCACTGTGCCTGGCCCTAGGACTGTAAATACCTTCACATCTAGCTTTCTGTGGGCATGCTGAGGCCTCTCATTAGAATCCATAAGATCTGCCTTGTAAGATTTCACCCTCCCTAGGAAGAGGACCCAAGAAACTACAGGAGAATGGACTCTGAAAACAAGATCCCTGAAAACAAGAAGAAAAGAATTCCATTTTCCAAATTAAAACTCCTTTCTTGGATTGAGAAGATCCCTGGAGAAAGGAGACAAAATGTCTGCCAGCACCTGTAAAGTCATCATAGGAAGTCAACTGAGAAAAGATCTATTTCATCTTCCTCAACTATTTTGAATATCCCTATTTGACATTATATAACACAGTTTCCACTTTACCTGCATCAGGTATTTGGGTGTGGGAGGGAAAGAGAGAATCAGATTGAGCTTTTCATTTTTCACCATTGTCTTTATATGTTTTAGACACCAGAGGATCCAAATCACTGTGACCTTTGGAGGCTGGTATCTTGTATCAATATGATTATGACTATGCTGAGCATGTATCACTGTTGACTGAAGTTTTATGCTTCTGTGAATCTGGATTGAGCTATATTGGGATATACAATGTGGATATGTTCAGCAGAGCCAGTCAGATAATGTTGAGAAATTCTTTTTGGCTTCTCGTGAACTGGGTACTCCATGCTTCATTTCTTTCTGCCATATATGGGATTGAAAGTGGGAAGAGAAATGGACTGGGGTGTTACGTATTTCTAGGGGATGAACAAATCAAAGAATTTCTCCTTTTCCTCAGACCTTAGAATCTAGGCTGTGAGCCCCAAAACGAATGGGGCATGAAGCCACTGGCAACGTGAACTTCACACTTTTCTCCATTTGAATCAGACTTTTGGAAGGTATAGATTTTCCAGGATTGTGACCAAAAAGCCATTTCTTTTTTCAATACCATTGATAGTGTGTGTGTATATGTGTATATATGTGTGCATGCATATATATATGTGTGTATATATCTTTACAGATACATGTGTCTCATAGACTTTATGTCCAGTCTTCTATCTTGGAGTGGCAGGGACAGTATGAGAATGTAGAACCACCCATGCAGATCTGTCCCAAAAAATAACCATATGTTATAATTTTGCTTGAATTTTCTTAAAGGTCTATTAATAAAGGTAGAACCTAGAGGGTTAAAAACCTTTTGGAATTCTGTTATGAAGTGTTTGTACCATTAAGAAGGTAATACATTTGCTGAAATAATGAAACCCAGAGAAGATGAAAGAGAAAGTGAGTGACCAAATACTATGAAGCTTTATTAGAAGGCATTCATTTTTCACTTGTCGGTGACTTTGGACATCTGGATGGTCTTTATGGAATACATAAGAGCTTTTAGTGAACGTAAGCCCCTTCTGTCTCCTCTGTATTTGACTCAGATTTGGAAACCCCTAATGTGATTTATTTTGGTATCATAAGAAAAGTATTTTCCACGTGGGAGAAAGTAGATACAGGCATAAAACTGAGATCACATTATACCTGTATTCAGGATTCTAAACTGAAAGTATTAGTCTTAGAATTTATCCTGAAAGTACATATTGTTTAGCTTTTTTCATTAAAGTGACCTGTAGTAAATGACCAACCTAGTGGCAATAAGCAATTCTTATGCCCATATTGTATATTTCCACTCAAAAGAACTAGCAGACTTTAGAGAAAAGGTTGATTGCTTATTTGAGCAGGAAATGAGCTTAGTCATCTTTTCAGATCCAAAAGTGTTGAAAACAACTAATTTTATGTCAAAAGGACCTAAGAGTCAATTTAAAGGAGCTAATACAGGCTAAAGTTTGGATAATTTGAACAGCATTAATGGCGATAAATGATTTGGATGAAAATATATGACTAAATCCATAAGTTCACAATGAAACAAAAAAAAAATCTCACTTTTTACCTTTGAGACATACTAGAGAACCATCTTATGAAAATAGATGAATAAAAATAATCTAGCATTGAATCAACTCCTGAAAGATTTCTTTCCTGAACTCAAGATAACCAAGAAGTCGATGAGATTTGTTTTTCAGATAACTGCTCAACATAATAAGTGAAGAAGGAAAGAGAATTAGAATATTACAACTTTATATGGATCAAAGACTTAAATCTAAGACCTGAAGCAATAAAAATTCTAGAAGACAACATTGGAAAAACTCTTCTATACATTGGCTTAGGCAAAGAATTCATGACCAAGAACCCAAAAGCAAATTTAACAAGAACAAAAATAAATAAATGGGACCTAATTTAACTAAAAAGCTTCTGCACAGCAAAAGAAATAATCAGCAGAGTAAATAGACAACCCATTAGCAAACTGTGTGTCTGACAAAGGACTAATATCCAAAATCTACAAGGAACTCACTCAAATCAGCAAGAAAAAAACAGTCCTGTCAAAAAATGGGCAAAGGACATGAATAGATGATTCTCAAAAGAAAATATACATATGGCCAAGAAACATATGAAAAAATGCTCAACATCACTAATTATCAGGGAAATGCAAATTAAAACCAAAGTGAGATACCACCTTACTCCGGGAGAGGTGGTTATAATTTAAAAAATAAAAAACACAGATGTTGGCATGGTTGTGAAAAGGGACCACTTTTACACTGCTGGCGGAAATGTAAACTAATACAACCACCATGGAAAACAGTATGGAAATTCCTTAAAGAACTAAGAGTAGAACTCCCATTTGATCCAGCAATCCCCCTTCTGGGTATCTACCCAAACAAAGGAAAATAAGTCATTATTGACTTATTATTATTGACTTACACTTGCATACACATATTTATAGCAGTACAATTCACAATTACAAAAATATGGAACCAACTTAAATGCCCAGCAACCAATGAGAGGATTAAAAAAAATGTATATATACACCATGGAATACTATTCAGCCATCAAAAGGAATGAAATAATGGAGTTGGAGACCGTCATTCTAAGTGAAGTAACTCAGGAATGGAAAACCAAATCTCATACATTCTTTCTTGTAAGTGGGAGGTAAGCTATGAGGATGCAGAGGCATAAGAATGATATAATGGACTTATGGATTCGAGAGGAAGGGTAGGAGGTGGGTGAGTGATAAAAGACAACACATTGGGTACAGTGTACGCTGCTTGGGTGATCGGTGCACCAAAATCTCAGAAATCTCCGTTAAAGAACTTATCGATGTAACCTAAAACCACCTGTTCTACAAAAACTATTGAAATAAATTTTTTTATAAAAATTTCAATTCTGTAAAGCTTTTACTTGTTAAGAATACCTGTGAAGTATTGTTTCCCAACAAATTCAGTCTGAATCACATCATGCCATATATCTCCCAGAAACATTTTATAGAATATGCAGGGGAGGGAGAAATTTGTTAAATGATACTATAGGGTGATGACAGAAAATTACACACTGGGAATCTCAATGGAGCAAGGAATCTGTCTTATTCAACAAAATTAGAAGGCTCAAAAGAAGAGGAGAGGGGAGTTAATGGTTTAAAAAAAACTTGAGATTCAATGTATAGGTATAGTTCTGTTTAACATTTTTAGCTACAAACTATGTTTTTTCGTGGTATCAAGAGTGCCTGAGTTGGATTTCTTACTTGATTTTGACCGCCTACCTTGTAAGGGCTCTTAGAGAGGATGATAATAGAGCTAGAATTATCTAGAGGATTGGGGTCTTAAAAGGAAACTGAGAAATGCTGGGGGAAGAGTGATGTCTGATGAACCCATCTGAACTTTGTGTAGACTGAAAGTTGACTTTTAAAGGAGTTAATAAAGAAATAACATTTTCTTAAACTATTATTCAAAGGTTGAGGAACATTGTGGTTACTTTTTAGTAATTTAATTCAAAACACCCCATTTTAAACTTGATGCATAGTTTTAAAAAAATAATGTTAAGAACTAATTTGAGGTAATGCCTGTTTATCTTGATTCTTAACTGAATTATAACATGTATTCATATTAATTGAATAATGTCTTACTCTCATCCTGAAAATTGCATGTTTGCAGCTTTGCAGACGTATGTGAATTCAATGAACTTTTCCTAGTGTTGTGTACTTTTTGCCATAGGAGAGATTTAATATTACTAATTAATTTTAACATTGGCTTTAACAGTAAGTTTCAGAGATTAAATGGATAGCAATCTAGAAAAGTTGTACTTTGTTATTAACTTGTAACAAATGTAATAAGGTGCAATTTTGAAGTCTCAGGCAAAAATAGTAATGGAAACATGCAAGGTTTCTGAAAAAGTCAAAATGCAGAAAATAAAAGATGCT